GAGCTGTAGATATTATATCATGCTTATTTGCATATGTAGTAAATAATGCAAATGTAATTGATAAGTAATGTAAAGGAAAACTATCTTGTATTTTCATTTTGTTTCATCTCATATTAAGTTCTGTATTGCAGATTTATTTATTGCCACAGAGATCACAGCATCCCTACTGATGGTGCCTTCATTTTCCTTTTTCTCTAGGAGGCCAGTGCCATTTTTGTTTAACCATCCAGAGTCAGAATCTACTTGCTGGACAAAGGTTCTGGCTTAGCTATGTTCTGAGCTGTGCGTACACATATTTGAAAGGGTAATCCCCATGTGCTGACATTCTCCTTGAGATGTGCTCCATGGCACTGTAACAGAATCACTAAGAGACCCTTTACGTTTTAGCTTAAGTGGTGCCGGCAGGAGAAGCAAGATCTTGCTGGTGCCGGCAGGAGAAGCAGGATCTTGCTGGTGCCGGCAGGAGATGCAAGATCTTGCTGGTGCCGGCAGGAGATGCAAGATCTTGCTGGTGCCGGCAGGAGAAGCAAGATCTTGCTGGTGCCGGCAGGAGAAGCAAGATCTTGCTGGTGCCGGCAGGAGAAGCAAGATCTTGCTGGTGCCGGCAGGAGAAGCAAGATCTTGCTGGTGCCGGCAGGAGAAGCAAGATCTTGCTGGTGCCGGCAGGAGAAGCAAGATCTTGCTGGTGCCGGCAGGAGAAGCAAGATCTTGCTGGTGCCGGCAGGAGAAGCAAGATCTTGCTGGTGCCGGCAGGAGAAGCAAGATCTTGCTGGTGCCGGCAGGAGAAGCAAGATCTTGCTGGTGCCGGCAGGAGAAGCAAGATCTTGCTGGTGCCGGCAGGAGAAGCAAGATCTTGCTGGTGCCGGCAGGAGAAGCAAGATCTTGCTGGTGCCGGCAGGAGAAGCAAGATCTTGCTGGTGCCGGCAGGAGAAGCAAGATCTTGCTGGTGCCGGCAGGAGAAGCAAGATCTTGCTGGTGCCGGCAGGAGAAGCAAGATCTTGCTGGTGCCGGCAGGAGAAGCAAGAGGAGAAGCAAGATCTTGCTGGTGCCGGCAGGAGAAGCAAGATCTTGCTGGTGCCGGCAGGAGAAGCAAGATCTTGCTGGTGCCGGCAGGAGAAGCAAGATCTTGCTGGTGCCGGCAGGAGAAGCAAGATCTTGCTGGTGCCGGCAGGAGAAGCAAGATCTTGCTAAGTGACAGCTACCACGCTCGCTGGTAAGAGTTACAGACCAATGTGGAAGCTTTTCCCATTAGGGGAAATTGTTGCTTCATCTTGGTGATTCTGCCGTTGGTGATGTGTGGTAAGCAGTAGGTGTCCCCATAATACATAGCCCTCTAGACAGACAGGCTGCAGGGCTGGATGCTGCACCTGCCCATCCTGGCCAGGGGTCTTACTTATTAGATACAGTGTATGGAATAAATGTATGTATTGTAATATTAAAAATAATCACTGTTCTCGTCATATTTAGGACCTTGGTAAGTTGGAATGACATCCTTATCTTTATGCCTTCAAGCAGTTTTACTAAGTCTCTGATTTAAGCTGTCTAGCATAGTTTGTACAGATACTACTGTGGTGTATTTTTCCATTCATGTAAAATAATATGCATGGTTTTAATAGGATTAGCGATGTGAAAGCACAACTCTTTTATTGTCCCAGTTAATGTGTTCTGTGTGGGGGCAGCATTGTGTCATCCTAGCCATTTCAATAGTGTTACTGTTACTGAAAGTTAGATCCTCCTACACCAGTCAGTGAAGCTTCTTGGCTGGGGAAGGCTGCCACATAGTGTATTGCAAGGAGGTTTACATTTTTCACTTTAGTTACCCATTCCTAATATTCATGCTCAAAACATGTTTGTCTGAAGAATGTAATAATCATTCACTTTGGTATTTTGTAGACTAAATAAAAACAGTTGCTGGTGCCCCCCATTTCACATTTCCCTTACTGAATTTAGGATTTTATGCCTGTAGCTTTTTTTTTTTTTTTTTTTTCTTCTTCTTTTTGGATAGAGTGTGAAATATTAGAAAAACAGTTTCCAGAACCCTTTTTGGGTGTTGTGCGTCTCATGATTTTATTTGGGCGATCGCGGCACATTTGTCACACGGAAAAACACCCTGCGTTTTCAGGTGCCATTAAAATAAATGCCACCTGAACACTCGAATGCATGTTTTCACATTTTCCGCCCATGATTTGAAACTCTAGTGTGAATGGAGCCCTACACGTAAACAGATATACTCTTTCAATGTTGATTGGTGGCCATTTGTTTTTTTTTTCAAAGGTCTTGAAACACTGTTTGAATTCATTAGCAGTGCAGTTCCCTCCATAGCAGGGAGCTGTATGAGATGGATTTCACTGGCAGGATTAACAGGTATTTGAGTCTGCGGACAAATTAAGGGCTTGTTTACACGTATGTTTGGGGTAGGGGGGGGTAGTAAAATCAGGGGTTTGAACTGTGTTTTTTACTGCTCTCCATCCTTAAGTACTTGCCGCCCTGTGTTGTACCCATACATCTCTGGACTTCAAGCAGTTATAGTGGGGATGATGCCTGCAGCTGCGGGCATTACGGAGGTCGGCTCTTCCGTAAAAGCGATTCCATCGGCTAACGGTGACAGCAATGACCTGAGATCACTTTCAGTTTACTTGGATGTCATTGGTGCCATTTTAAAAAAATTTAAAGCATTCAAAAACCCTGATCTTGATGTTTTTGAATGCTTTTAAGAGCAGAGGAGAGATTTGGACCCCAGATCTTTACATAAAGAATACCTGTCACATGCCTATTGCTGTCACAAGGATGTTTACATTGCTTGTGACAGCTTTAAAAGTGATTTGTTTTTTTTTTTCCAACAGTGTAAAGATAAAAAAATAAAATTAAAATTTAAAGTGTCCTCGTCCCCCCATGCTCACATGCAAAGGTGAATGCACACAACGGTGCTGTGCATATGCAAACAGTGATCGTCCCACACGTGTGAGGTATAATCCGCAAATGTCAGATCATGGGCGGTTATTTCTAGCACTAGACCTCCTTTGTAAATCTAAAGTGGTAACCTGTAAAGGCTTTTAAAGAGTCGCCTATGGATAGTAAAATTTGTCGTTCATCACAGTTGCAAAGGCGTGCACAATTTTAAAGTGTAACCTGTTTAAATTCTATTTACTCTGCGTAAAATCTTTTATATTTTACAAAAAAAATGGGTTATGTATTGTCTTTTTTGCATTAAAATAGAAAGGGGTATTTTTGTTCCCCAAAAATTGTGTTTGAAAAACTGCTGCACAAATACCGTGTGACATTAAAAAAAAAAATGCAAAACCCACCATTTTATTCTCTAGGGCCTCCACTTTAATAAAAATATGTTTAAGGGGTTTAACTAATTTTCTAGCAAAAAATACTAATTTTAAAATGTAAAAAAGTGTCAGACAAAGGCTTGGAGGTCAAGTGGTTAAAGTGGCAGTAAACTTGAGAAATAAAAAAATCCTCTTACTGGCAGGGCTTTCATAACAGAAGAGAACCTAGAGGGTCATAAATCTAGTCCCTGCCTGTCAGGTCGTAATGTAATCTGAGTCTCACATGCGTAACTCGGACCACATTTACAGCCCATTAAGTGCCGCGGTGATGTGACTCGCATGTATGCCCAGGAGTGACGTCACCATTGCCCAGCCATTCAAGAGGCCAAAGAATCTAAGCCCAGAAGGATGACTGGGTGAAGATGGAAGTGCTGGGGAACCATGACCGTTCAGCTCTGGAGGGCTTTGTTTGTTGGCAAGTCTCATAATGTACTAGTATACCATGCATACTAGTATATTATGGCTTAAACCTGCAGCGGGGGCCCATTTTTTAGTTTGCAGAAAGGAATTTACTACCCCTTTAAGCTGCAAAGGCAGCAGAATAGCGTTCTACACGTGCCTTCCGAAGGTGACAGGAGGGTTAATTTGTTTTGCGGCTGTGACACAAAATATTGAGGCCACTGCAAAAATTATCCACCTTTTCGCTTAAATTGCCCTTGCGACAGAATGGTTTTTAGAAGGACAGCAAGCATTCCTGCATGTGTAAACTTAGGTTAAGGGAAAATGGTAAGTGCAGATAAATCTACAAGTGGGTACTTCAGCAGGGAAGGGTTAATGGGCCCTTTTGTTTCTTTACAGTTGCATACCAGCAGGGGCGGACTGACCATTCAAGTACTCGGGCACTGCCCGAGGGCCCGGGGTCAGTAAGGGGGCCCCATGAAATGCAACTAGTACTTTTTTTTTTTTTTTTTTTTTTTTTTTTTTTTCATAGGCTTTTTTGGGTGTGCTTTGATTTGAGCAAGGACACAGGGGCCCCATGATCCCCTATTGCCTGGGGGCCCCATGAATTGTCAGTCCGCCCCTGCATACCAGTTGAGGCATTGAAATTTAATTCAGGGAGTGCAGCCCTAGCTGCTCGGGGCTTCATTTTTTTTTTTTTTTTTTTTTTTGCACCCAGCAATAGCATGCATCAGTCTTACCCCATTTCTTGCTGGAATGAATTGGATTGGTCATGGAGCAAGCGGGGGTGGAGTTACAAAGTGCAGGTTGATATTTTATGTGACCCTTTCTAGGCTAGATAAAGAATTTATACTAAGGTAAATTGAATGGACTTTCCACACAAGGTTTCATAAATGATTTCACTTACCTGTTGCTGCTCTTTAAATATAAAATCACTCATAGAGAATTAAATTGTCAGCTTGTGGTACCAGACTTTAGCAAATATGACTTTGTTGGTGAATTCTATGTTTCCTGGTTTTGGTTTATAGAAAATGGGAGGATTCAGAGTAGACTAAAGAGGGATAGTAGCCCATTGGGAACAGTCACGTTTTAATTGAAGCATTAAAGTATATATTCATAATTCTTTTTAGCTGTGTGCCCTTACAGTATTTTCTTTTTTTTTTATTTACAGATTCCCAGAAGGATCCCTTTAGTGATCCATCAACCTCTTTGCTTCGTGGACTGTTGTATGAATTTTCATAAGACTTATCTGTTCAAATTTTAAATATGGCTAATCGAGGGGGAGCCACGAGACCCAATGGACCAAATGCCGGAAATAAAATCTGTCAATTCAAGCTAGTCCTCCTAGGAGAATCCGCAGTTGGCAAATCTAGCCTAGTGTTGCGCTTCGTAAAAGGACAGTTTCATGAATTCCAAGAAAGCACAATTGGAGGTTAGAAAATGATTTGCTACTGTGTTACCTGTGTTGCACTTATTCAGAAAGTGTTTTTGTTTGGTGTTACTTCACAAATACAACTTTACTATATACAGTAATTTACAATTTTGAGATGAACATTTTTCCTTTTGATCTAAAAATACTGCACCTATCATATTTTGATGCTGCAGTCTCTATTTGTGTTGGTCCTCAGAGCTAGTTATCCTCACCCAGAAGAGTGCTAGTTGCTAAGAGTAAGGTGGATTGACAGCAGGACTTTTACATGGCTGCACTCCCTTAGCCAGCACTTTGGCCTGTAATTTGTTTGATTTTCACAAGGTGCAGAATGATATTGTAAAGAATACTGGGTACACCCTGGTACCTTTTTCATGTAATGGCACAGTCACACTTGCAAAGCTATAAAATAGGTAAACGAGTGCTGGGTATAATAGGATAAAATGAAGTGACAGGAGGAAGCTGCTTGCATAAAAGGTAAACCTCTAGAACCTTCCCATAAAATGTAAAAAAAATATAAATATATGCAGTGCTAATGTTAGTAAAATAGATAACAATAAATAGGCTAATAAATAATAGCAAAGCGTATAAAAAGCTTCAAAGTGCGCTCCCAGGCGCTATGGACAGTGATGTGAACAAACATACAGCTTGATGTTAAAGTGCATAGGTGACACAAACAATAACAAAAAGTCAATAATTTCCAACGACAAATGACAATATGAGAGTGAAATTCCGTGACTCCAGTGGCTGTGAAAAATAGGTGTGGATTGCACTAACCAGAAAGCGCAAAATAATGCGCAATTTGAGTAAATTAGAACCAACTCCTGGTCATCTGACTCTGGAAACATGTCACACAGGGGGTCATCTGGCAAGCATCAGCAGGCAGGTAACACACCATAGGAGGATATCCAGGCTCCAGAGATGCAATCATCAACCAGCAGGGGGAACCATTTACATAGATATATGCCAGGTCACACAAATTCACCTTAGAAGGAGGGCTCGTAACAAATGAGCCAGAGAGAAAAGTCTCCAATAGTGTAGTACTTTATTAATAATAAAAAAATTAATATAGCAGGAGGTATTTCAACTCACATCTGTAAATGACAGGAAAACCAAGATGGACCGTCGGCCGTGCGGAATGACGTCACTGTATAGGGCACCTCTCTAGCGCGTTTCGTGCCCGTGCACGTTGTCAAAGGGAGTGTGCCTGTCATCTCATAATCATTTTTTATATTGTGCTGCGCGCATGCGCAGTTTCACGTGTCCACGTCATTGCAGTCCGTTCGTGCATGCGCGATGCATGCGGACGGCGCCCATTTTACTGAAGTTTCATCCAGCAGCACAGAGAGAGGCAAACATCCGAGGAGGGGATCCATGAAAGGAAATATATATCATTGGCCCAAAAATAATACTTTATGTGGGGCACTGACATGAAGCATAAGATGGTAAATGCTAATTATCTTATCCCATGGAGATAATTATACAATCGGACCTTATTACCTCCATTAAGGCGTGGCCTCTATAAATCAAGGACATAAATATCCAGCGTCGCCGCTGGTTTACCCATGGTATATTAATACTCAATGTGTATAATAAGGTAAAAAAGGGGGGAAGAATCCCTCATCATTGTTAAAAATGGAGTTCTGTCCATATGGGAGTAATTAAAATAAGGGGAAAAAAAAAGAGAGGGAGGATTGGTTAAAAATATCTAGACATGCAGTATAATGGTATGTGTATATATAAATTGAATCAAAAGGAGGTATTAATACACACTCCCAATTTAAAATAAGATCAGACTTAATATAGATCAAATATCAAGTAAAAAAAGGTATACATACCATATAAACCTCATATAAAAATGGAAATTAAGTCATAAACTCTATGCTGTATAAAAACACCAAGACCATAAAATATACATGGAGATGTGATATATAAAAGATCGCAAAATGGTATACACTCAGATTCTCATCAAATTACATATAATCTACAATGAGATCTAAAAATTGCATTATGGAAAAAAGCAATGCAACCAATGAGATAAATAATCCCACAATTAAAATGGGAAAAAAATTCTCCGACCAATATAAAATATAAAAATTATTTATGATGGTATCAGGATAAAAAAGATGTATAAAATGCTAAAAGCATCCCTTAATAAATCACCATGATTTAGTATCCCCCTAGATGTTCACGTGAAGAGGGATTAGCTAGTGTCGATTAAAACAATTGATGTCAAGATCAATGTTTAAGCCATGTGGAGTAAGTGTACGTAATAAAAAAATCCACTTAGTCTCTAACATGAACACTGCTTTCCGTTTGAACGTTCCTCTCCAATGTTTCTTAATTATATCTATGCCCGTGAATTTTAAGTGATGAGGGTTTCTATTGTGTGATTCGCGGAAATGCATAGACAAAGAATGCTGTTTGAAACCCTTCTTGATATTCTGCAGGTGCTCTCGAAGTCTGTCTTAGTCTTCGTGTGGTCCTACCTATATATTGCTTCCCACAAGAGCATTCTAGAAGATATACAGTATGTGTACTGTTGTATGTAATGATAGATTGTATATCATAAGAGTTCCCTGTAGAATTAGAGTGAAAAGTTTTTACGGGTTTCTTATGGATGCCATTGCACACACATATTATGCATCTATTACACTTTAACGTCAAGTTGTACGTTGGTTCACATCACTGTCCATAGCGCCTGGGAGCCCAGTTTGAAGCTTTTTATACGCTTTGATGATATTACTTATTAGCCTATTTATTGTTCTCTATTGATTTTACTAACATTAGCGCTGCATATATTTATATTTTTTTACACTTGCAAAGCTGCTGTCACAGAAAAGTGGAGGTATTACTTTGGAAATGGAGCTTTTAGTGCAGCCAGATATACATTGTACGATTTCTGTGAACTCAGTCTCGCTATGAAGTGTATCTAAGCCAAGGAACAAACATTTTAATATGTTGCATAATGCCTTTCCTTAGATGTGTAGTTGCACATTCATTTGTTTTTATTCAGTTTTTTCATTTATTTTACATTTTGATTTTTGTCAGTGACACACTTTGTCCTAGTTTGAAAACATTCACTTTTTTTTTGTTTTTTCTATGGTTGAACTGGCTTTTTTTCAGCCAGACTAACTTTGTAACTATATGTAACTATGTAACTCACTGTTTTGTACTATGGCTCCTTAGACTGCTCTCTCGATTTGGACTCCAAACACCTCTTCCACTCCTCACCTTCATAACCTAGGGATGAGGTGTTCTGCAGTTCTCAAAAGAACTTCTGTAAGTTGGTTGACATATGAGATCTCCGTTCAGTGCACATGAAGTGACAAGAATTCTGGATTTATGGCAATATAAATTGTTGTTCTTCTGTACTTGCTGAAACTGCTCATAGCCTGAAATACAAAAACTAACTAAAAAAAAAAAACTTTATAGAGCTCATTAAAGCCCCATACTTTTTAACCCCCGTCCCTCCCTCCCCACATCCTTATAACTGATCATATTCGTGAATAAATAGATCCCTTTTTAATGTATCTGAAGCTGCATTCACTTGACATCACCAACCAAAGTAAAGTCTTCTCTTCTGTTTACTTCCTGCAAGGGTCCTTCTCTGGGTGTCTTGTCACTGCTTGTAAGATGTCAACACTTCCAACTGGATTTGCTGCTGGCAGGGTCCTTTCAGGAGAGAAAGGGGGGATGAGATTAGGGGACATTGGGGGGCTGGTAGTCTAAAGGCACCATCGCAGCGATTGGATCAGATGACCCCCTTGACCCTACAAACTTTTCTTATTTAGGTGGTTGCTGGAGCTGTTCTTACTTTTTTAGTTTATAGTTAAATAATGACATCTTCTTAAAAGTAGATTCTTGGTCTTTTAATGATTGTTAGAGTATAATTCCTGTCAATTGTATTTTTTATCATAACATGTAAAAAGCCAAAAAAACTCAATGCTTTGGAAGAAGACTGTTTACTTTGGTATATTGAGATTAGAGTATATGCAGATATACAGTTTAAGTTACATACTACATATACAAAAGTAAAAGAAAAAAACCCTATCGTGGCTAAAGCTATATTTTTTTTTTTTTTTTTTTGTTTAAAAAATTATTTTAAGCCTGAAGATTACATAAAACCCCCAAAACATTATTATATATATATGTCTCATGATATACGTGCAACAGTTTAAGAAATGCTAACATTTTAGTAAAAAAAATACACTAAAGTTCATTTTAGGGCATACAGACTCAAATGACCCATTTGTGGTAATATATAAAAGATGAAGTTGCGCTACGCAAATACTGTCAGCAGTCTGTATCCCTGATCGCTGCTACACACTAGTTATATGACACGGTACTGCAGTACTAAAAAAAAAAAATTGGGAAACCATTTTATTTAATTTTCTTCATTTTAAAAAAAAAATTGTGACAAATTACAATTTAAAAAAACGTATTTGGGGGATATTTGTACTGTCCTGGCATTTTAGGGCCTAAAGGAATGAGATAGGCCATCAGGATTAATCAATTTTCAAATATATAGATATACCATAGTTTGTAGACTTTCTTTTGCAGACTAAACATACAGTTTTTATTTTTACCTAAGAAATGTTGCAGACTACATTTTGGCCTAAATTTATGTAGAATAATTTGTTTGCAAAATGTTATTACAGAAAACAAAACAAAGTGTGTGTGTGTGTTTTTTTTCCCCCAATATTTTTGCTATTAGTTTTTATACCAAAAAAATTAAACCCAGTGGTAATTAAACACCACCAACTGAGAGCTTTATTTGTGTATAAAAAAAATTATATACATTTCATTTGGGTACAGCATTGCATGACCAAGCAATTGCAAGTTAAAGTAGCACAGTGCTGAATAGAAAAAAAAATTACCCTGGTCATGGAGAGGTTAAAACCTTCCAGAGGTCATGTGGTTAAACTGAATGGGTTGTTTTACAATGTGAGGGTTTACATACACTTTAAAGTGTTACTAAACCCACAACAGTAAAATCAGTC